ATGATAAAAATCCTGAAAAAAATCATGAAAAAAATCATGAAAAAAATCATAGAAAAAATCCTGATAAAAATCCTGAAAAAAATCCTTAAAAAAATCATGATAAAAATCCTGAAGAAAATCCTGAAAAAAATCATGAAAAAAATCCTGAAAAAAATCATGATAAAAATCCTGAAAAAAATCATTAAAAAAATCATTAAAAAAATCATAGAAAAAATCCTGATAAAAATCCTGATAAAAATCCTAAAAAAAATCATTATAAAAATCATGATAAAAATCCTGAAAAAAATCCTGAAAAAAATCATAATAAAAATCCTGAAAAAAATCCTGAAAAAAATCATGATAAAAATCATGATAAAAATCCTGAAAAAAATCCTAAAAAAAATCATGATAAAAATCCTAAAAAAATCATGAAAAAAATCCTGAAAAAAATAATGATAAAAATCCTGAAAAAATCATGAAAAAAATCATGAAAAAAATCATAGAAAAAATCCTGAAAAAAATCCTAAAAAAAATCATGATAAAAATCCTGAAAAAAATCATGATAAAAATCCTGAAAAAAATCATGATAAAAATCATGATTAAAATCCTGAAAAAAATCATGATAAAAATCCTGAAAAAATCATGATAAAAATCATAGAAAAAATCCTGAAAAAAATCCTAAAAAAAATTATCGATGAATTGTTTAATTATTATTTATTAACAATTAAGGAAATATTGCTAACTATTAAATAAAAATAAAACAGAAAAAATGCAGAATAAATTACAAAAAAAGATACAGAAAAATGTAGTAAATAATGCAGTGAAAAATCCTAAAAAAAATCCAGAAATAAATACTGAAAAAAATCGCGAAAAAAATCATGAAAAAGATACCAATCCTGAAATCCTGAAATCCTGAAATCCTTAAAAAAATCCATAAAAAATCCATAAAAAAATCCTTTGAGAAATCCATAAAAAAATCCTTAAAAAAATCCTTAAAAAAAACCATAAAAAATCCATAAAAAAATCCTTTGAAAAATCCATAAAAAAATCCTTAAAAAAATCCTTAAAAAAATCATGAAAAAGATACAAATCCTGAAAAAAATCCTGATAAAAATCCTTAAAAAAATCCATAAAAAAATCCATAAAAAAAAACATAAAAAAATCCTTAAAAACATCCATAAAAAAATTCTTAAAAAAATCCATAAAAAAATCCATAAAAAAATCCACAAAAAAATCCTTAAAAAAATCCATAAAAAAATCCTTTAAAAAATCCTTAAAAAAATCCATAAAAAAATCCTTGAAAAAATTCTTAAAAAAATCCATAAAAAAATCCTGATAAAAATCCTTAAAAAAAATCCATAAAAAATCCATAAAAAAATGCATAAAAAAATCCATAAAAAAATCCTTAAAAAAATCCTTAAAAAAATCCATAAAAAAATCCATAAAAAAATCCTTAAAAAAATCCTTAAAAAAATCCATAAAAAAATCCATAAAAAAAAACATAAAAAAATCCTTAAAAACATCCATAAAAAAATTCTTAAAAAAATCCATAAAAAAATCCATAAAAAAATCCACAAAAAAATCCTTAAAAAAATCCATAAAAAAATCCTTTAAAAAATCCTTAAAAAAATCCATAAAAAAATCCTTGAAAAAATTCTTAAAAAAATCCATAAAAAAATCCTGATAAAAATCCTTAAAAAAAATCCATAAAAAATCCATAAAAAATCCTTTAAAAAATGCATAAAAAAATCCATAAAAAAATCCTTAAAAAAATCCTTAAAAAAATCCATAAAAAAATCCATAAAAAAATCCTTAAAAAAATCCTTAAAAAAATCCATAAAAAATCCATAAAAAAATCCTTTAAAAAATGCATAAAAAAATCCATAAAAAAATCCTTTAAAAAATTATGAAAAAAATCCTGATAAAAATCCTTAAAAAAATCCATAAAAAAATCCATAAAAAAAACATAAAAAAATCCTTAAAAACATCCATAAAAAAATTCTTAAAAAAATCCATAAAAAAATCCATAAAAAAATCCACAAAAAAATCCTTAAAAAAATCCATAAAAAAATCCTTTAAAAAATCCTTAAAAAAATCCATAAAAAAATCCTTGAAAAAATTCTTAAAAAAATCCATAAAAAAATCCTGATAAAAATCCTTAAAAAAAATCCATAAAAAATCCATAAAAAAATCCTTAAAAAAATCCTTAAAAAAATCCATAAAAAAATCCATAAAAAAATCCTTAAAAAAATCCTTAAAAAAATCCATAAAAAAATCCATAAAAAAAAACATAAAAAAATCCTTAAAAACATCCATAAAAAAATTCTTAAAAAAATCCATAAAAAAATCCATAAAAAAATCCACAAAAAAATCCTTAAAAAAATCCATAAAAAAATCCTTTAAAAAATCCTTAAAAAAATCCATAAAAAAATCCTTGAAAAAATTCTTAAAAAAATCCATAAAAAAATCCTGATAAAAATCCTTAAAAAAAATCCATAAAAAATCCATAAAAAAATCCTTTAAAAAATGCATAAAAAAATCCATAAAAAAATCCTTAAAAAAATCCTTAAAAAAATCCATAAAAAAATCCATAAAAAAATCCTTAAAAAAATCCTTAAAAAATCCATAAAAAATCCATAAAAAAATCCTTTAAAAAATGCATAAAAAAATCCATAAAAAAATCCTTTAAAAAATTATGAAAAAAATCCTGATAAAAATCCTTAAAAAAATCCATAAAAAAATCCATAAAAAAAAACATAAAAAAATCCTTAAAAACATCCATAAAAAAATTCTTAAAAAAATCCATAAAAAAATCCATAAAAAAATCCACAAAAAAATCCTTAAAAAAATCCATAAAAAAATCCTTTAAAAAATCCTTAAAAAAATCCATAAAAAAATCCTTGAAAAAATTCTTAAAAAAATCCATAAAAAAATCCTGATAAAAATCCATAAAAAAATCCATAAAAAAATCCTTAAAAAAATCCTTAAAAAAATCATGAAAAAGATACAAATCCTGAAAAAAATCCTGATAAAAATCCTTAAAAAAATCCATAAAAAAATCCATAAAAAAAAACATAAAAAAATCCTTAAAAACATCCATAAAAAAATTCTTAAAAAAATCCATAAAAAAATCCATAAAAAAATCCACAAAAAAATCCTTAAAAAAATCCATAAAAAAATCCTTTAAAAAATCCTTAAAAAAATCCATAAAAAAATCCTTGAAAAAATTCTTAAAAAAATCCATAAAAAAATCCTGATAAAAATCCTTAAAAAAAATCCATAAAAAATCCATAAAAAAATCCTTTAAAAAATGCATAAAAAAATCCATAAAAAAATCCTTAAAAAAATCCTTAAAAAAATCCATAAAAAAATCCATAAAAAAATCCTTAAAAAAATCCTTAAAAAAATCCATAAAAAAATCCATAAAAAAAAACATAAAAAAATCCTTAAAAACATCCATAAAAAAATTCTTAAAAAAATCCATAAAAAAATCCATAAAAAAATCCACAAAAAAATCCTTAAAAAAATCCATAAAAAATCCTTTAAAAAATCCTTAAAAAAATCCATAAAAAAATCCTTGAAAAAATTCTTAAAAAAATCCATAAAAAAATCCTGATAAAAATCCTTAAAAAAATCCATAAAAAATCCATAAAAAAATCCTTTAAAAAATGCATAAAAAAATCCATAAAAAAATCCTTTAAAAAATTATGAAAAAAATCCTGATAAAAATCCTGAAAAAAAGTCATTATAAAAATCCAGATAAAAATCATGAAAAAAATCCTGATAAAAATCCTGAAAAAAATCATGATAAAAATCCTGAAAAAAGTCATGAAAAAAATCCTGAAAAATCCTTAGTCCAAGAGTCTCAATAAAAATTAAATAAAATTATTGTTTTCTTGGCTCAAGAGTTTTAATAATAATTGAATGAAATTTTTTGATTTCTTGGCGCAAGAGTTTTTGTAATTTTACTAAATTAATTATTTGTCCAACGCCTTCGTGGAAATAGAACTATTGTACGCTAGGCACCAATGGAGGAAAGTAGTACATTTCTCCACTGGTGGGTTGGCCAGTGGAGAAATGAAGTCATTTTCCCACTGGTGGTTTGGCCAGTGGAGGAATGAAGTCATTTCCCCACTGGTGGTGGAATGAAAAATTGATTAATCGATTTTTTATTTTATATTAGAATTAGAACATTTTAGAAACAGAATTTTGAGGACACTCTGGGGATCTTTGGGGACACTTTCAAAACATTCATTTTTGAAAAATTTTTTTCCAAAATATTTTTTCAAATTTTTAGATTTTTTTCAAAATTTTTTTCAAAATTAGATTTTGTTTCACTCTCAGTTATTGCTATAACATCATTGTAATATTTTGATTTCGATAAATAAAGAATAAATTCAACTTCAAATTTTGAAAAATTAATAGTTTAAATTTATTATTTATAAAAAAAATTGTTTGCAGTTGTTGGACAAAATAGTATGTGTAACTTGTGGAGAACAGCGATTTTCGCTCGCTCGATTGCTGCGCGCGCTACGCTTGCGCAGCAAACTTCGAGCTCGCGAGAAATCGCCCTTGTTCTCCACTCGTTGCACAATCTACTATTTTTCGACTAGGAGTTTCAATAATTAAAGGAAATTAAATGGTTTCTCATAGAAAGAGTTTTTTGGGGCAAGAGTTAATTAATTTTACCAAAATTCTGAATTTTTTGGTGCAAGAGTTTAATTAATTTTTTTTAATTACTGATTTCTTGGTGCAAGAGTTTAGAATTTTAAATAATTAATTAAAATCCGGTACTTGATTTCTCTGCTCAGGAGTTTGAATAATTTATTAAATATAATAGATTTCTCGACTGCGAAAAGGAAAAGTTTGAAGAATTAGGATAAAATTACTTGATTTCTGGACAGAAAAAGTTGGAAAAGTAAAAAAAGGACTTTTCTCCAGTTTTTTAAACTTTTCTGCGCGCAATGACCGACTTTCGATTATATGTAATTGGATAAAAGACTAATTGAATATTGACGCAGGTAATTCTAAATTATGGGACGTCGATAGTGAACATTCTAGTGGCAATGTGCACCAGAGAGAGGATGGTCCAAGTGTGGAGTATGATTCAAGACTTTGATTGCGACACGAATATAATGGGCTTCCCGCAAATGGAAAGAGGAACTAAATTCAGAACATGGAGTATAATAATGCTGAATACCGTATTGTGGGTGTGGATAAGTCAAGCTGGAATACTAGCATTTTCCGAAACGTGGCTACAAAATGCAAGCTATCTAATGATTTACATTGCCACTTGTGTTTCCGTTTATGAATATTCCGGCATTGTCATTATTCTCGGGACAAGATTCAAGCATTTAAACAAAATTGCCGTCACTTGCAGTCCTAATCAGAATGGATGGGGGCGACTGCCTAAAATTGAGTCCAAGGTGGAGTCATCAAAATTCCCCACTATTTTATAGCACCTAGAAAAAAAAATTTACTAATTTTCAATTTAATTACTCATGTGAAATTTATTTATAAATTTAATTATTTTCAATTAATTTACAAAATAATTCATTTTAATTCATTTACAAAATAATTCATTTCAATTCATTTACAAAATAATTGTTTTTAAATACATTTCTCCAAAATAATTATTTTCAATTTTATTTCCAAAATAATTCTTTTCAATTCATTTCTAAAATAAATATTTTCAATTCATTTTCAAAATAAATTTTTTCAATTAATTTACAAATTAATTATTGACAATTAAATTACAAATTCATTATATGAATTTAATTATTGACTATTAATTTTTTTTTTAATTTTCTAATTTAAATATTTGTTAAAAATACTAAAAATAATTCAATTATGAAGAAATTACAAATAATTGCAGAAATGCAATTATTTTCAAAAAGAAAAAAAAATTCTTCTTATAAAATTCAACTATTGTTCTAATTTTAATTATTTTCAAAAATTTTCAGTTTTAATTTTAATTTCAATAATTTTCAATATATCTACACAATTTTAATAAAATTTCCCAAAAAGAATCAAATTATTTAAAACAAATTTTTAATAAAATTGTATGCAAACATTTAATTATTTTCATAAATAATAAAAATTTAATAGGAATTCAATTATTTCCATAATTAATTTACGAATTAATAATTTATAAATAATTTATTTACAATTAAATTAAGCATTCAATTATTGTCTATTAATTTACGAATTAATTGTTTACTATTTACTACTTTAAATTTGTTGATAGTTGAAATAAAAAAATTATTTTAAAAAATTTTAATAAAGTCATAATGGAAAAAATTCATTATTTTCACTTTTTCGTAATTCAAAGATTTTTAATATCTACTATTTTAATGAAAAATTTCCCAAAAGAATTGAATAATTTAAAAAAAATGTTTATAAAATTCTTTGCAAATATTCAATTATTTTCATAAATAAAAAAAATTTCACAGGAGTTCAATTATTTAAAACAGAATTTTCATAATATTTTTCGAAATAAATCAATTATTTAAATAGATTTTTATAAAATTCTTCGCAAGAATTCAATTATTTTTATATGAATAATAAAATTCTTCTCAGGAATTCAATTATTTAAAAAAATTTTAATAATAATCGTTGCAAGAATTCAATTATTTTTGCATAAATAATAAATCGTTTATTCGGAAATTCATTTTTAAATCAATTTTTATTAGAAAATTGGACAAAAATTTAATTATTTAAATTCAAAAATAAATAATTTATTGAATAATTGAATGCTTGGTAAAATTGAAGTCTCATAAAGAATTTTATCAACAAATATTTAAATAATTGAAATCCTGGGAAACTTTTATTATTTATGAAAATAAAAATTTGCGTAGAATTTTATTAAAATTGGAAATAATTAAATTTCAGCGAAGAATTTTGCTGTTTATAAAGATAATTGAAATCATGAAGAGAATTTTTTTTTAATTTTTGAAATTAATTGAATTTCTGAAAAGCATTTTATTACTCTTGAAAATAATTCCATTCTCGTGAAAATTTTGGAAATAATATTAAATACATATTAAAAAATTCAACTAATTTTAATAGAATTGAAATTAAAATTGTATTAAAAATAATTAAAATTCTGCGATGAGTTTTATTATTTATGAAAATAATTGAATCCATATGTAAAAAATTTTATTTATGAAAATAAATTAATGTTTGCGTAGAATTTTATTAAGATTTTTTTTAAATAATTGAATTCTTTTGGAAAATTTTATTAAAATAGAATTAAAAATCATTGAATTGAGGAAAATTTTTGAAAATAATTAAAATTTCCCCAAGAATTTTATTAAAGTTGATGAAAATAATTGAATTTCGGAGAAGAATTTTATTATTTCTAAAGATACTTGAAATTTTGACGAGAATTTTTAAAAAAATTTTTAACATATAATTAAATTCCTGCAAAGAATTTTATTACTTTTGAAAATAATTGAATTTCTGCAATCATTTTGTAAATTAAATTATTTTTACAAATACCTATTAAAAGTCATCGTACTTTTTCAATTAATTTTAATACAATTTTAAATCAATTCCGCGAAAAATGCAACTATTCTTCAAAATTTTAATAAAATTCTTCGAAAAAATGCAATTATTTAAAAAAATTTGATGTAATTTATTTCATAGAGTGTAATAATTATTTTCAATTTATTTTTAATTACATTTCTTGAATGAATTTAATTATTATAAAAAATTTTAAATGCAATTCTTCGTAAAAATTCAATTATTTAAAAAAAAATGTTGATAAAGTTCTTTATAAGAATTGAAATTTAAGAAATATTCAATTATTCAATAAATTATTTATTTTTGTATTCAAATAATTGCATTCTTGTAGAATTTTCTAACAAGAATTGATTAAGAATTAAATAGAATAAAATGATTAAAGTTTTGAATAATTTTATTATTTTTATTAATAAATTTTTCCTGAAGACAAAATAAATAGGCATTTAAATATTTATTTTAAAAAATTATTCTTTTTTTGAATGTATAATTTAAGAAATTAAATTAAATTAAATTGAAATTAAATTGAGTCGTCAGGTTTAATTTTTCGATAGCTACATTTTACTACTTTTTTCTGCCTTTGAGCTACTTTTTTAAAATTAATTATCGAGTAAGAAGTCTGTAATTTATAATTAATTAACAAAATAATTATTTTCTATTAATTTGCAAATTCATTATTTTCTATTAATTTAGAAATTCAATGTTTTCAATAATTATTTTTCATTATTTGCAATTAAAATACAAATTTAATTATTCTCTATTTAATTTAAGAACTAATTGTTTACTATATTAATTCCTTTGTCAATTAATTTACAAATTCATTATATTTTCCTTTAATTTAAAATTAAGTATTTTCAATTAATTTACGAATTAAAAAATTTATAAAAAAATGTTTGGAGTGAAGAAGATTTTTTACTAAATAATTTTGTTTTCCCATTATTTATTTATTTAATTATTATTAAAAATATTGTCATTACAGGTAATTGAAAAGTTACATGGAAATTTAATGATTGCCAGTAGAATTTTAGATTCTGTGTACTCATGGCCATTGTTATTATGGTTGTTTAATCTCTGCTCTCATACGGTTAGTAATACTTATTTCATCATTACGGCATTCATGGACCACGATTTTGAGATTATTATTCAAATTTGTTTGGCGGGATGGTTCATTATTTACGTCATGCAACTTATGGTATTACATGTTGCCTGCGATTTTACGTCATATGAGGTAAAAGTTATCAACAAAAAAAATTTGCAATTCAAATTTTAGTTTGCAAAAAAAAAAAAAAAAATTGTTATAATAATTTATAATTAATTATAATTTTTGTCATTACATACTTTTTTTCACAGGCGAATCGTTTAGGTGATATTTTATTAAATTGGAGAAAGTGGCAAGTCTTCAATGACGACGCGGTAAAATTTTTTTCTCTGAAAATAATAATTTTTCTTTTGAAATTTAATTATTAAATTTTTTCTTGGTCAAAAAATAATAATTTTCTTTTTGAAATTTAATTTATTAAACATTTCTTCCCTACGTTATTATAAAAGTAAATATTTAACAAAAAATTGTCTTTTACGTTGTAAAAGTAAATATTCAAAAAAAAAAAAAATGTTTTCTTGATGTAAAATTAAAAAAATTGTTTTCTTAAAGTTTAAAAATTAAATTATTTCCAAACAGAAATAATTGTGGCAGAAAATTAAATTTTATTTTCACTATTTGAAAAATTTCGTTTTATTTTTCCGAAAGGAAGAAATAATAATAATCATTATTTCAAATGGATTTTTTATTTTGTTGCAGGAGTTCCAATCCACTTTATATCTGCTAAATTACAAATTAAACTTTTCAGCTGCCGGATGTTGTTACGTAAATTTACTTCTATTGCGTTCGGCGAGTATAAAAATTAACTTTTTTTAAAAAAAATTGAAAATTATTATTTTTCAATTTATAATTTAATATTTAATTAATTAATAATTTTTCAGATTACAGGAATATTGTGTACATATCTAATAATTCTACTCCAGCTTCCTTAGAAATTCCAGCTCTAGATGTTAATTTAAAATTTTTAAACACACTTTTTAAAAAAATGCAAAAAAATACACGAATATAAATGAAGGCGAAAAATTCGAGGAAGTTAAAAATTCAAAAAAGAAGAAAAAGTAAAAAATGATTTTAAACTGATTTTTATTTTAAGTTGTATAAATATAAATGTTATATATCTAAAAATGAAGCAAAATCCGTAAATCTGGATTTTATATTATAAAGAATTGAAACCTTCCTGTGAGTAATATTATTTCGAATTCACTTTTTTTTTCCTTTAGAATTGCAAGACTTCTCCTACAAATCCGTTTATCCTGAGACTCAAATCAGTTTTACTAGTTCAATGCGTATCCGGGTTGCGGTTACAATTTATTAAAATGTTACATGGCAGTTCAGTGAATATGTGGAAAATTTTATATTTTTAGTTTCAATTTTATTATTGTTATTTTAAATAATTTAAAATTTAGTGACAAAAAAAAAAAATAAAATTGTCTAATTTTCATTTATAAAAATTTGATCAGAGGATATCCTTTTTTCAAAGAAATATTTCTCTGTATTTTTTATATTTTAACTATTTTTTAAAATTTTTTTTAAAAAATTTTATTTTTCTATTATTTATTATGAAATATATTCTTTCGTTTTTATTTATGAAAAAAGTTTTTCTACGTTTAATTTAAACAATTTTTTTCATTTTCATTCACACAAAATAAATTTTATTTTCATTTTCAGAATAAATTTCTTTATTTTAATTTTTATAAATTATAATGAACTTTTTTTCATTTTCATTCACAAAATAAATTTTATTCTCATTTTCGAAATAAATTTCTTTACTTTTATTGTCATAATGAACTTTTTTAATTTTCATTTTCAAAACAAATTTATTTATTTTAATATTCAAATAATTTTTTCATTTACAAAATAAATTTTTATTTTCATTTAGAAAATTTTTCTTCTTTGCATTTTCAAAATGAATTTTTATTTTCATTTACTTAATTTTCTTTTATTTATAAAAAATATTATCCAGAGCAGTGGCTTTTAAATAAATACCTAAATATTATGTATTTTAAAAAAAATATTTAAAAAATAAATAAATAATTAGTTTTTCAAAAAAAAGTGTTTATATTATAAATAAATGTTCTATTTTATACCCCATTGCTTCGGAAAATTGCCAACTATTTTTTTTCTCTTTTACATTATCTATCGAGCTTGAATACTGATCAAGTTAATTTTCTTCAACACTATTTATTTGCTTTCCTGGAGTTTTTTAACGATGACCTTCGATTTTTCCTTCGAAACTCTTTAAAGGAAAATTACTCTCGTTTATCTCGTCGAATATTTCAATCAACTTTTGATTTAATTTTTTTGCCAATCAATAAAAGTCATTTCGATTGTTATAAAAAAAAATAAACTCTCCTTACAAAAACAATCAACGACAAAAAAATCAAAGGAGAAAATAAATAAATAAAAAGATAAAAGTAAAATAAATAAAACAGTAAATAAATAAAAAAAAATGAGAATAAAAAATAAAAAGAAATACGGAAAAAATAAAATAACAAAAAAATATGAAAATAATTTATTTATCTATATTTGAAAGGTAAACGAGTTTACAAAAAATTGAAATGCCCTTAAATAATAGAATAAAAAGTATGGAAAAAATTGATAAAAAATACGACAAAAATAAAGAAAAATGTGAAAATAATAAAACAATGACAACTATGAAAATAATAAAACAAGGAGAATACAAAAAAATAAAATACGAAAATAAAACAAAGAAAATAATACGAAAAAATAAATAAAATAAATCGTCAAAATGCCTACGAAAAAAGTGAAATAAAAAAAACGAAACTAATAAAATAAAGAAAAATACAAAAATAATGAAACAATGAAAATAAAAAAAAAAATTAAAAAATACACTTTTTTCTTATCCTGATAATAAATTGAATTCCTGCAACGAATTTTATTATTCATGAAAGAATTTAAAATATATTTATAAAAAATAATTTAATTCTTGCGAAGAATTTTATAAAAATTTTTTAATAATTCATTTCTTTCGAATAATTTTATGCAAATTCTAATTTAAATAATTGAATTCCTGAGAAATTTTAATTATTCATAAAAATAATTGAATTCTGTTTGGAAATTTTATGAAAATATTAGATATTGAAAATCATTAAATTTTGCGAAAAGTTTTTTTTTTTTTCAAAGATATGTAATTAAATTTTACAAAGAATTCTATTAAAAAATTTGGCAATAATTTAATGTCTGTGGGAAATTTTATTAAATTTTTTTGAAAATAATTGAATTTCTAAAAAGCATTTTATTATTTATGAAAATAATTGAATTCTTGCAAACGATTTATTAGAATTTTTTAAAATAATGGAATTTCCAAGAAGAAATTTATTACTTTTAAAAATAATTGAATTATTGCGATGAATATTCAATTATTTTCATAAATAACAATTTATAAAAATAATTGAATTTTGAAAAGAATTTTATTAAAATACTTCAAAATAATTGAATTTTCGAGAGTAATTTTCTTAGTTATCTTTAATAATTGAATTCTTTTAAAAAAATATTTGTGTAAATAACTGAATTCTTAGAAAAAATTGTATTAAAATTTAAAAACATAATTGAATTATTACAAAAAAAATTTTATTAAAATATTGTATTTAAAACTAAAACAATTAATTTCTTTCGAATAATTTTATTAAATTTTTGAAAATAATTATTTAATCCTTTCAAAAAAAAAAAAAAAAATGCAAAAAACATTTTTTTAAATAATTTATTTTTTCGAGGGAATTGAAATTAAGTTTTAAAGAATAATTACATTTTTTGAGCAATTCCAATAAAATTGTATTAAAAATAATTGAAATCCTGCTATGAATTTTATTATTTATGAAAATAATTGAATAGTTGCCAGGAATTTTATTATAATTCTCAAAAATAATTGAATTACAAAAAAGAATTTTATTATTTTTTTCGAAAATAATTGAATTATTGCGGAAAAGTTTATTAAAATGTTTAAAAAAAATTGAATTTCTGTGAAAAATTTTATTATTTTTGAAAGTAATTGAATTCTTCAGACGAATTTAATGAAAATTGTTTTAAAAAATTATTTTTTTCGAAATATAATAAATATTATGAAAATTTTATTAGTTTAAATAATTTGAATTCTTGTGGAAAACTTTATTTGTGAAAATAACTGAATTTTTCGATTATTAATTTAAAATAGTAAATAAAAATAATTGAAATTCTTCGATGAGTTTTATTATTTATGAAAATAATTTAAATTCATGCTTAGAATTTAATCAAAATTGTTTTTAAAAAATTGAATTTTCATGAAAAATTTTATTATTATAGTGAAAGTAATTGAATTTATTGTGAAAAATAAATTGCATTAAATTTTGTTAAATAATTGATATTTTCGAAATTTTTTTGAAAATTAGAGAATTAATAGTATAGTGGAAGATCTCTAAAAAAAATATTATTTCAGAAAGTTGAATATATTTAATAATTTTTTTACCTTCTCTATTGATTCAGAATAATTAAAATTTTCATAATGAAAATTATTTTTAATTTTGAAAATCAGATGTCAAAATTAGTTAGTATTAATTATTAGTATTCTTATTATTAGTATAAAAATTTTTTAGTTTTTTTTATACTTTAAATTTTCAAAATATAATAAAATAATTTGTCTATAAAAAAAATTAGACAATTAATGTTTGTATTGCGAAATAATTAGAAATCTAATGATCGAAAATCGATTACAGTCTGACAAAATATAGATAAGGAAATTGAGTGTAAACACAGAACATAATTTGTATACAATATTTATTGAATGTTATCGAATATAAATATAGATATGTGTTTATATATATAGAATATAGTACAGCCCTCATTGTTTTCTAATACGTGGAATTAACGTATTTCGATATACTTTATACATATATATTGTAATATTTTTGTTGTCTTTAAATTAATATTTGTCCTAATTTTCTAATTTTTCTCTATTATATATACACACAATTCTCAAAAATATAATTATCACAGAAAATTTTCACAAAACGTTTTAATATCATTTTTAAAACGGTAAAATTTTCCCCCATATAAAAAGTCGCATTTTTTTTTTGTTTAAAAAAAAAAATTTTCGAGAATATATGTAAAAAAAATTACGCCAAAGAAATAAAAAGAGAAAAAAAATGAAGCATCGTTCAAAATTAAAAAGTCAAAAATGTTTTTTTTTGCTTCTTTTCGAATAAAAAAAAGTAAAAAATCTTTTTTTTTGGTTAAATTTACAATTTTTCTTTTAACATAAAATTTATCTATTTGGCAAAATTTTTTTTTTTTAATGGAAATCATTGATCAAATACGTAAAAACTTTGTGGTCATAGTTTTTAGGTTTTGATTGTTGGCGAGATTTTGTTAAAAAGAAAATATTTCTTTTGAAGAAATAAACAAAACTCTTTGATCTGTATGGAAGAAAATCATCCTTTTCTCGTTGACTTTTAAATCTTCGTTATTTCGTTTAATAAATAAAACGTGATTTTTTTGTCAAGAAGTGGAGATTTTTAGAGGGGGCAAAAAATATCGTACATCATTTACAGCAATTTTTTTTTACAAGTCATTTTTCAATTTGTTATATTTAAACTTATATAAAATAAAAATTAATGTCTAAAATATTATCACAATTTATTTTTTGAGTATTTTTTTTTTAATCTTTTTTGAGTAATAAACAGTTTTTGATTCTATTAATTTTTTTGACGCTTTTCGAAATTTTAAAGTTTTAAAATTCTTTGTATTCGTATTTTCTGGAATTTTTTTTTTTGTGTTGTTTTAAAATAATAAACCTGTGAGAAAGAGAAAAGTTTTTCTATTGTTTTCAAACTCGTCTTCTTACTTCTTTGAAAGTAAAAAAAGAGAAGAGGAGAGAGGAAAATTCTCAAGTTCTTCACATATTTAAAGAAAACCTAATTTTTCCTTCTTGAAAACTTTTGCATTAACTGTTTAGAGTGAAATTAAAATTTATACAATTAAATACTGTTTATTCGAGAAAAAATTAGCGAAAACAAAAATTTTTCACTAAAATAAATATTTCAATAAATTGAAAATGAGAAATCATGTTTTACAAATATTAAATCTAGAATAAAATTGATTTTTTGGTACTGCACTAAAACGAATGTGTATGTAAAATAAATTCTTATACGTGTGTAATTAATTTCGATAAATTATTTGAAAATAGCTTCAATTGTTTATTAAAGAAACTCTCCAATAATTAATAAAAAAAATTTATAAAAAAATGTACTAAATAGAATAAGAAAAATTAATAAAAACAATGAATAAGAAAAATTATTAAAAAAAACAAATAAGAAAAATTAATAAAAAAAAAAAAATGAAAAAGAAAATTAATAAAAAAAAATTAAATTTCGAAAACAATTTATTACAATTCTATAATCAACAATTTCTAAAGAAATGAAAATTGTAGTCATTGTATAATAAGATTCAATTCTTTCAAGAATATTTCCCGAAATGAATGTTACATGAGTAAATTTTATTTTTTACAAATTTTGACGCAAGAACTGAAAATTGTTTCACTTTTGTCTACGGAATTTTTCTATGAAAAAAAGCCAAAAAGAAATATTACAGAAATTAAATAATTAAAAAAAAAAAGAAAATATAAAAAAGCAAAGAATTTACTATTTTTACCAAATTTAACTTAATATAATTTAATTTAATTGATAAATAATAAATTAATTTTAAAAAATTTACTATTTAATTAACAATTGAACCAGTATAAAGAATTAAAAATATCACAATCGTAAATATTATAATTTATTCTTTTTTGGAAAATCAATTTTTTTTCACAAATTTTTACTCCACAGTCTTTTTTTCTCAAAGAGTACTCAATAATTTTTTTTCACTTTTTTCCATATATATTTAAAATCGCAAAATTAAAAAAAATTGCAACAATAAATTACAATCCTAAAAAAATAATAAATGCGACAATAAAATATTCTAAAAAAATAAAAAAAAATAAAAAAAATATATAAAAAATCTCCAAATTTGGAAAAAAGGCAAAAATTTAAAGTTTAAAAAAAGCATAAATTTTTACTTGCAAGATATTCGAAAAATAATTTCTATTCCCAAACATCTTTTTCTTTTGCTTTAATCTCTATATAAAAATTTATTGCTAAAAAATGAAAATGAAAAAAAAATATTGACTACTTATTACAGAGTAAAACTGTTACAAACTAGAAACCAAAAAAAAAAATTGACAAACAAAATTTTTCATTCGCGAAAAATGGCAAATAAAACAAAAAGAAAATACTTAAAAATATTTTCCCTCTTCATTTTATTCCCAATGCAATTTTATATTCGCAAAATAAATTATAAATTATCAATTATTAATTATAAATTTATTATAAATTTATTATAAATAAATTAGCAAAAAGAAAAATACTTCCTTTTTTCCGACACACGTATTAGAATTTTATTTTTCATTCCAAAATACACATCAACATTTACAAGTAGGTACAAGAATTTATATTAATTGTCAAAATGATTTTTTTTCTTTCAAATTACACAAATTATGATGCTAAATTAAATAAATAAATAAATTATGGCACTTAAAAAAATCACATTTTAAGAAAATAATCACAAAAGATAATACTGAATTATTTTTTTTTTTTACTTTTTCATAACCAAAAACTGCTCAAAAACTATTGAGAGAATTATTTTAAACAAATTGTGATGTCACGATAAATCTAAAAATCAAAATCAATTTTTTTTCAATAAGCTGTAAATGTGCAGATTTTACAAAAAAAAAAGAAAGTGAGGCATTTTTACACAAGTAAATAATTTACATTTTTTGTTTCATCGAGAAATATTTACACACAAAAAATTATTTACCGAAAGTGTGAATTTTTTTCTTTCACGTACAAGCCAATTTATTGCTTTTCCCTTCTTTTAAATAATAATTTAAATAATTATAATATTAATAATGGTTGTAATAATAATAGTGATGTAATTAAATAATAGTGATGTAATTAAATAATAGAAATGTAATTAAATAATAGAAATGTAATTAAATAATTGAAATATAATTAAATAATAGAAATATAATTAAATAATAATATAATTAATAATAGAATTATTTATAGTAATATATTTGGTAATAACATTATTAGAAACAATATTATTAGTAATAATGGTACTAGTAACAATACTACAAGCAATAATATTATTAGTAACAATATTAGTAGTAATATTAGTGGCAATATTATTTAGTAACAATATAAGTAGTAATAATATTATTAGAAACAATACTATTGGTAATAATGCTACTAGCAACAATACTACTAGTAATAATGCCACTAGTAACAATACTACTAGTAATTAATGCCACTAGTAACAATACAACTAGTAATAATATTAATAGTAACAAAACTACTTGTAATAATATTACTAGTAACAATATTGTTAGTAATAATGCTACTAGTAACAATGCTACTACTATTATTATTATTAGTAACAATATTGTTAGTAATAATGCTACTAGTAACAATACTACTAGTAATAATTGTTATTAGTAATAATATTAATAGTAACAAAACTACTAGTAATAATATTACTAGTAACAATATTGTTAGTAATAGTGCTACTAGTAGTAATAGTATTAGTAACAATATTAGTAGTAACAATGCTACTAGTAACAATGCTACTAGTAATAATATTATTAGTAATAATATTATTAGTAAAAATATTGTTAGTAAAAATATTGTTAGTAAAAATATTGTTAGAAATAATGTTACTAGTAACAATATTACTAGTAATTAATGTCACTAGTAACAATACAACTAGTAATAATGTCACTAGTAACAATACTACTAGTAAATAATGCCACTAGTAACAAAACTACTAGTAATAATATTATTAGTAACAATACCAGTAGTAATAATATTACTAGTAACAATTCTACTAGTAATAATATTATTAGTAACAATACCAGTAGTAATAATATTACTAGTAACAATTCTACTAGTAATAATATTATTAGTAATAATACCAGTAGTAATAATATTACTAGTAACAATACTACTAGTAACAATATTATTAGTAACAATGTTATTAATAATTATTTCATTACTAATAATATTCCGAATAATATCATTTTTTGGTGTTAAGATTTTTCTTGTCAATTTTTCAATATTTAGAATGGAACAAATCCTTTGGTGTGAGAATTGAAAAAATTCGTATCTGTTTACAGTTTGGCTAGATTGAGGATTGAAAATATAAATTTTCAAAAAGCCGAAAATTTTTTTTGTCTCCTTTTTTATCGGATTTGTTCCATTTTCTAATGAAAACGAAATAATTTTCCGCAAATTATGAAAAATTGAAGAAAAGAAAAATCCTCGAAACTACTGAATAAATACTCGAGATTCTACCGTACCAAAAAAAAAATAGTTTTTCTTTTTTTCATTTTTGTTATTTTTTGTTCTTTGAAAACTAGAAGGACGTGACTTTTGTGCAAATACTCCTAAGCTCATCGGCAGACCTAAATACCTCGGGACTAAGATACCTTTTGTTCTTGGACTTAATGGTCGCATACTGTGGTGGACTTGGCGATGAATAATAATCCTGCGATGATCCCGAGACATTAACAAAATCTGCATTCCTCCTCTTCAATGATAGTGCATCTTCATAGACACTCGATTTGGGTCTCAATTTTGGAACATCGTAATTGTTCATTTCATCCAGACACAAATCGAATGAGAATTTAATAACGTCGGGAATTCCCGGTTCGGAGCGGGATAAATATTTTCTTGGCACGTCATATTCATTTTCGGATGAGTGAAATGATGTGTCACGAGGTTCACGGTGTTTTCGCATTATTACTCTTTCGTCGTCTTCTTTTCTTTTTTCTCTTCTCTCTGATTCTTTCTCGGATTTTCTTGATGATGTTCTTACTGCTTCCTTTGATGATTTTTTATCTGATTCTCTTGATGCTTTTCTTTCTGGTATTCTTTCTGATGGTTTTTTTGATTTTCTTTCTGATGCACTTTCTTCTTGTTGTTCGTCTTCTAATGCTTCTCGATATTCTACTCCTTTTCTGTATTCTAGTCCTTTTCTGTATTCTACTCCTTTTCTGTATTCTACTTTTTCGTTTGCTGCTCCTATGTATGATGCTCCTCTGTATGCTGATCCTCTGTATGGTACTCCTCTGTATGCTACTTCATCTTCGTATTCTTCTTCTTCGTCTTCTAGTTCTTCTTCTTCTAGTCCTTCTTCTTCTTCTCCTTCGTATTCTTCTGCTACTTCTACTCTTTTTACTCCTTTAACTCCTTTTACTACTTCTGCTCGTTTTGCTCCTTTTACAGCATCTAATCTTTCTACTCCGTTTACTCCTTTTGCTTTTGCATTTTTTTCTTCTGCTTCTTCTGCTCCTTCTACATATTCTCCATCCTCTTCATCATCCGGATCGTACAACTCATCCTTACTCAGCGAAATGAACGGATGTTTCGGTATTCTCGCACTCATCGGATGTTTTGGTACCCTAGCACCCATCAAACTGTTCGCCGAACATTTCGCTGTTCTAGAACCGTCCTCTTTGTCCAAAAGAGGAAAACTCTTTCCCTTTAGTTTCCTATCGAGGGACTTGACCATAATTTTACTCGGCGAGGGATAACAAGGTCCAAGATCAACTTTTACCTCATCCCTAGGAATTTCGTACAAAAATATCCTGTTTCCGTTGCTAGGTCCACTAACCTGACCACTACTTCCTGTACTATTTCCACAAGACTGAAAAGTGGATAAATTAGTCGATTTGCGATTAAACATTGGCATTGTTGTCCAATTACCAACTGCACTGCTGTTGGCGTAAATTCTGTCCCTTCTCTTCTGCTCCTCGTCGCAACGAACTTGATTTGATTTCCCACTCGATGATAACGATGACTCTTGATTCGAGGTGATGGATGTCAGGGAAGATGACGACAGTGACTGTTCATCATAACCAGAATCGGGTAGTTCGCGATTCTCCTCATTAATATTGACTTGAGAGGAGAAGACGACTTCCTTCTTCTTCTCGTTGCACCTCTTGCCACTTAGTGTCGAGAGTAATTTCTTCAATGACTTCTTTCTCGGCAGCTTCTTGCCTGGAAATGGTATCCAATTGACAGATATTTCCTCGACTTTTACCGGTTTCTTGAGGAAGGCGCCAATAATTATCGGTGCTCGCTCCTTTCGCTTTAGGGTCGAGGACTCGTCTTCCTGGAGACTTTTTCTGTCGAGGTACTGCTCGATCTTTGATGCTCGTAGATTCTCACCCGAATCAATTTCGTCCTGAAAATTCGACTTCGGTTTCAAGGTCTCAAAATCAGTCTTCGAATACAAGTCGTAATAGAGATCGATTTTAGGATCCCTTTGAATGTGGTGAATTTTTGCTTCCTGTCCATAGTGATCGACCTTTGGATCTCTTTGGACACAGTTCGTTTTTGTCTCCAAGGAAAAATCAATATCCGAACTAATCGATCTTGTCGAATTTGTATCTAACGAAGAATCCTTATTTTCACTCGTACATGAAATATCACTGGAACACTTGGAAATTTCGATATTTGCAAAATGGAGGGTTTGACAAATATTTGAAAACGAATGACGATGTATACGGGAATCTCTTAATTTTTCTGAAACTTTCTCTGAGCATTCTTCAACGTTGTTGTATTTGTATTTTTCCTCGAATGCAGCGACGATCCTCTTGACAAAGTTTCCGGATGTTGTATCAAAGTTTGATCTCGGCGACATGAAACCAGATTCAAATTCACGAACAATATGCTCAACATTGGGGGAGTTTGCTAATGAAGCCGGTAAAGTTTTTGACTTTCTCATTGGCTCCATAATTTGGCATGGGGTATTATCGTGAGTTTTGATACTTAACGATTGCGGTGGTATGGGTCTTGTGAGAGTTTTTGAAGTTTGATACTTGATTGGTTTCATTAGTGGTTGCTCACGGGATATTGAGAATTTCTTGTACGATGATTTTCTTGATAAGCTGCTTCTTCGAAATAATAATGATGACCTGTTTGCACTTTCACATGAATTGATGTTGTTGTTGTTGTTGATGTTCTTTCGTCTCGATTGTATTGTACTCCTTAGTCTCGTGCCTTCGAAACATTCAATTTCAGGTGAAATCTGAAAAACGAAACACATATTTATTATTCAATAAATATATGAACTTAATTTTTATATTCAAATCAATGATTATTTGAACCAATAATTATTTGAATCAATAATTATTTGAATCAATAATTATTTAAGCCAAAAATTATTTGAATCAATAATTATTTAAGTCAATAATTATTAGAACCAATAATTATTCGAATAAATAATCTCAGTATTTATAGCAAGTACCATTTAATTAACAAAAATAAAAATTATTTTTTAAATTCTAATTTCTTGAAATAAATATTTGTATTAAATACGAATAATAAAAAGAAAATACGTAATCAGAAATTTTTTTTTTTAAATTAATAAAAAATTCAGAAAAATTACATAAAATTTTGATTTATTTGATTCAAGTAAACAATTATTTGCCTTACAAAAATAAATATTTACTTGAATCAAATAAGTTTTATTCAAGTCAATTAAACAGTAAAAATTGCTTCAAAAATTGCTAATAAAAATTACATTGCTTCAAAGATTAAATTGGTTTAAATTAATTAAAATAAGTAATAAAAACCAAAAAATGAAATAATAAAAATATAAAGGGAAAAAAAGAAAAAATAAATAATAAAAATAAATAAAATTAAAAGAAAATAAAATAATAAAATATAAAGTAAATAAAAAATTCAGATGAAATATATTTGGTTTAGATAAAAATTATTTGATTCAAGTGAATACTTATTTAACAACAGCCAATGGATCATTTGAATCAAATAAAAATTTTCCCCCCAAAGTTAATTCTACACTTTTTTAATTTTTACAACAATAAGTAATTTTTGAGTAAATTTTTAAAAACTGTGAAAAAAAAATATTTTCAGGTTAAAAAAAAATGTTTCGTTCATTAGAACGTTGAGAATTTTTCTAGAAATTTATTTTTGGTTTTTTGAAAAAAACACAGATACACACAATATGTAATTATCGTTTTAGTAATTAAATTTACATTATATTTACATTATATTTGCATTTACAAATTCTGTTGTAAATTTTCTTTCTATTGTAATTAGTTAATTTATTAATTGAATCGTAATTGCCTGTAATTAATTTTATAATAAAGGAAACAAAATTCTTTTTTAATACACTAAAATATTTTAATTGATTTTTAAATGAAACTTAATATTTTTCTTTTTTCCTCTATAATCATTAAGGTTTGTAAATTTGAAAAAAAATTGCCTCTTACTTAAAAAAAAAAATTAAAAACAAATTATAAGCATTAAAATAAATTAGCAAACTGGATAAAATAAGAAGAAATAAAAATAAAATAGAAAGAAATGAGAAAATAAAAAGAAACAAATCATAAAATAGAAAAGACGGAAAAAAAGGAAAAAAAAGAAGAAACAAAATAATATAATTAATAAACAGAAAATATTTGTAACACTATCAGAAATTTTTCCTAAAATGTTTAGCATTATTTTTGTAATAAAATTAAAATTGAATGAAGTAATAAACAGTAATTTTTTTATACTCTTTCTCCAAAATTGTTTATTTATTTATTTATTCAATATGATAAATAAATATTTATTTAACATTTTTAGAAACAAAATGCTTGCAAATGAAATTTTTTCAATCTTCTTTACTATATTGAAAAAAGCTTTTCGAAAAAATAAAAAATACAAGTATATTTGTTTTCGTGTAGAAAAAAGAAAAATAGAAAATTCCAGTAGCGTCAAAATTTCAGGAGCGTACGCGAAAATAAAATTGCAGGTGCCAGTTATTTTTCAGAATGTTTTCAAAGACCTTTGCAATTTTTATTTTACTTTTAATTATTTATTTAATTTCATTTTTGCAAAAAAAATGAAATAAATAGACAAAAAACAAATGTAAGCAAACGAAAAGCAGAGTAGAATGTAAGTAAAATAAATTTTCAATAAGTCATGCTCAAAAATAAAAATACGACTTTTTTTTAGATTTTCACCAATATTTTGCAATAAACAAAAGGCGTAAACAATATTATTATAAAATATTGAACGGAACAGGCCAGGAATAATTTAAAAATAATCAGTTCCGAACAAAATTTTAAAGAAGAAACATTCTTTTCAAAGAAATTTTTTTTTACAGTCAAGACAATTTTTTTTGTATACACCCAGAGAAATTATTGGTATAAAGAAAATTTAATTTGAATCAAATATAATTTATTTGAATTTAATCATGGCAGATAAAAATTTGACTCTGAGTTTGCTAAATTATTTATTGCAAGTAAAAATTTTATTCGAAAACAAAATTTTTATTTGAATCCAATAGAATTTTTACTTGAAACGCGAATGGAATTTTTATTTGAACCGAATGGAATTTTCATTTCAAGCAAAGAAAATTTTTATTCGAACCAAAGAAAAATTTTCACTTTAACCAAAAATGGAATTTTTATTTGAACCGAATAGAATTTTTCTTTTGAACCGAATGGAATTTTTCTTTTGAACCGAATGGAATTTTTATCTTGAACCGAATAGAATTTTTATCTTGAACCGAATGGAATTTTTAATTGAAGCAAAGAAAATTTTTATTTGAACGAAAAACAGTTTTTATTTGAACCAAAGAAAACTTTTTCTTGAATCAAACTTGGAAATTTTATTTGAACCGAATGGAAATTGTATTTGAACCGAATAGAAATTTTATTTGAGTCGAATAGAATTTTTATTTTGAACCGAATGGAATTTTTTTCTTGAACCGAATGGAATTTTTAATCGAAGTAAAGAAAATTTTTATTTGAACGAAAAACAGTTTTTATTTGAACCAAAGAAAATTTTTACTTGAACCAAATGTGGAATTTTTATTTGAACCGAATAGAAATTTTATTTGAACCGAATAGAATTTTTATTGTGAACCGAATGGAATTTTTATTCGATGCAAAGAAAATTTTTACTTGAACCGAATAGAAATGTTATTTGAACCGAATAGAATTGTTTTATTTTGAACCAAATCGAATTTTTATTCGAACCAAAGAAAATTTTTATTTAAACAAAATAAAATTTTCATTTGAACCAAAGAAAACCATCCAGTTGAACCAAAGAAAATTTATTCAATAACAATTAAAATTTTTATTCTCTACAAAGAAAATTTTCATTTGAACCGCAAAAGAATTATTTTGTAACAAAGAAAATTTCCATCTGAACCAAAAGTTTTATTTGAGCCTAGTAAAATATAATTTAAATCAAACAAAATTTATTTTGTACCAAAGGAAAATTTATTTTGTACCAAGAAAAATTTATTTTGAACCAACCAAAATTTTTTTTCAAACCAAATAAAAATTCGCAACAAATATAAATACTTTAGTAGACTCTGTGAGTAAAATATTTTTCTTTTTGTTTGCAAACATGAAAAAAATTCTAAATTTACAATGAAAGATAATTCTTTTTTTTTTACCCTAAAAAAATAATATCCTAAAGAAAAAATAATTTCTCAAATAATAATTTTTGCGTTTACTTACTTTTTCTTCTCCATCGGTTTTTATCGTTGTTCGCTGAAGAAACTGGTTCATTCTATTCGAATTACTCATGGCTTTTGACTAATATTAAACCACATCGTACACACTGGAAGATTATTTTTAAAACATTTTCGATTGCCAGCACTTAATCCTCATGCAGAATAAATAAATATCCCATACACTATATATATATATATATATATATATGTATATATGTAAATATATACATACACTCACACACAAACACTCGCCAGTATTATTACGACCTTCACTGTACTAAAAACACTTGTTGCACTTTCTTCACATCAAACGTAGAAAATGAAGATTGGGGAAAAGTTGATAAATAATAAATTACAAAAATTTTTTTTTTTTCTTTCTTGAAACTGAAAAATGTCTACATAGTGGGACACACTGTGTGGAACAAGGTGTAAAGCGTGGGAATACTGTGCCTTCAAGTTAGAAAATGGAACTTGTCTGAACTACCTGAGTTCGAAAAGGGATTGCCAAAGACTACTTCGTCTATTGTGATCAAGGGTCGAAGTCTCAGCGGCGATTAGTCGAGAAAATCGCTCCTCCCCCTCTTTTTTTTTTTTTCTTCAAAATCTATTCTTGAAAGGTAACATGAAAATATAGAGGAAATTTTATTTCTGAAAACTTGTCCTTTCTGTACAAAATTCTCCTCTCCCCCCTCTCTGTCTGTTTGCTTCGTTGTCTATTTATACAGATAAATTCCATCTCACCTGTAAAGTTCTATTTGCAAAAAAAAAAAAAAATTCTCAGTTTTATTCTCCAATAATTTACTCGAAAGAAAAGGAGAAAATTATTTTAAGAAATTAAATTCGAATTCAATTTTATTTATTTTAATTATGTTTTGTGCATTTTCAGAAAAATTGGTAGTTGCATCAATTTGCAGAAAAAAAGATATAATATTTGGTTCAAAGCAAACTAGACATTTTCTTTGTTTCAAATAAATTTTACTTAGTTTAAATACAATTTTATTTGGTACAAATAAATTTTATTTGGTTCAAATAAATTTTATTTAGTTTAAATACAATTTTATTTAAACAAAATAAAATTATTCTCTGGGTGTACGAAAGATTTTTTAATTCAAATATAAATGCATTACTTGACTATTGTTAAATAAATATTTATTTTTACCTTTTTATGTTTATTTTTTACACTGAAAAAAATGTAGAATTTAATTTACATAACCGATCACTTGTCTATTGTCAAAATAAATATTTATCTACTTGAATCCAATAGTTTTTTTTCGAATCAAATAATTTTTGTTTAAATAAAATATTTTCTTTCTTTTTGCCCCAAATAATTTTTCCTGAATAAAATAATTTTCTTTGAGTTAAATAATTTTTTTTTTTTTACTTGAATCCAATAATTTTTTTTCGAATTAAATAATTTTTGTTTGAATAAAATAATTTTCTTTGAGTTAAATAATCAAATTTCGAGGAGTTTTAATTGAAAATTTTGAAAATAATTGAATTCTCAAAAAATTTCAATGAATAATCTTCCGAGTGTAAATTTATAAATATGAAAGTTAATGAAAATTCAAAAAAAAAAAAAATATTGAAAAAAAGTAATATTCAACATTTTTTTTTTTTTTTTATAAAAAATTCAACAAAAAATTCAATTATTTTCGTAAAATTACATTGCAATATTTTTAAAAAACTGAGTCTTGTAATTTTTTAAAATCTCTAAAAAAATGATTAAAAAGTCTTGAACGTTAAAAAAAACGGAAATTTATTAAAATTATTTTCATACAATTTTACAATAATAATTATTATTTTTTCAAGAAAATCACAGTGAACATTAAAAACACAAATTTTACATTTAGAAACTTTTAATAAATTTTTTTTATATTGACGCAAAGGCATAGTAATAAAAATTTACTTTCAAGAAGAAATAAATAAATTTTCTTCAATTTGAACGTTCAAAACTTTAAGATCCATGGAAAATAGAAAAAAATAGGGAAAAATATTATTTCTTTCAGCGATTCGAATATTTTCATATCCACGTGAAATAAGATTTTTTAGAAAAAAAAACTGACGAATATTTGCAAATATTTTATAATTAATTAATTCTCACTATTCCTGTAAAATTGATTTACATTTGTATTTTTAAAATATATGCTCGGAAAAGTTACCATAAACTTTATTAATTTTTTCAATATACCTAAATTCTTTTATAATTAAAAAATTACTCAGACTGCAATAAAAATCTGAAAAATTAAATTAAATATTTTGAAAATTTATAAATAAATTTTTTACATTATTTTATTATTGTAAAATAAAAATTCGTTTATTAAAATCGAGATTAAAACTTTTAGAATTTTGTGAGACGATATAAAAATTAAAATTAATAATAATAAAGTACAATGTTCCGATAAACTGTTCGCAGTTTGAAGTTAGTTGTTGTTTGTTCTAATTAAATTCTTTTGAAGAATTTCTATGAATTTTTTCAAACTAATGGAGTTTCTTTAATAATTTTATTTAAAAATTTTGAAAGCAATTGAATTTTATGAAGAAGAATTTTTTTTTATTAACATTAAATTGTAAATAATTGAATTCTTGCAAAGAATTTTACTATTTATAAAAATAATTGAATTGTTTCGAAGAATTTATTAAAATTTTAAGAAATAATTAAATTGTTAATGAAGAATTTTATAGAAATATTTGATAATAATGAAATTTTTTCGAGAATTCTTTCAATTTTTTTTGACGTATATATTTAAAAATTGCATTGAAAGTAATTTAATTTTTATATACAATTTTTTAAAAAATATTTTGAGAATAATTATTGAATTATTTTTAGAGAATTTTAAATTCTTGTTGAAATTGAATTTTATGGAAATTTTTGAAACTAATTATAAATTCTTTCGTGTAATTTTATTTAAATTGGATTAAAAATTATTTAATTCGTGCAAAGAATTTTAGTATTTATAAAAATAGTTGAATTGTTACGAAGAATTATTATTAAAATTTTAGGAAATAATTGAAATTTATGGAAATATTTTAAAATATTTGAATTCATCCGAGGAATTCAATTAAAATTGTTTTGAAAATAATTGAATTCCTGCAAAGAATTTTAATAAATTATAAAATTAATTGAATTCTTGCAAAGAATTTTACTATTTTAGAAAAATAATTGAATTTTTTCGAAGGATTTATTAAAATTTTAGAAAAAAATTGAATTTTGTCGAAATGTGTTAAAATTAAAATTTATCAATTAAAAATTTTTGAAATAGTTTAATATTTGAGAAAAAAATGCTGGTAATTATTAGCATATATATATATATATATAGTGAATAGTATAGGTAAAATTTGTCACTTGAATATTTGAATTAAACATGAAATGTCGTATTGCAGGTCAATTGTAATTTCATATTGAATAGTCATAACTTTTAGGAAGGTGTGTATATACATGTATAGAGATAGGTAGTTAGTAATTGATCTAACTTGAGTTATATTGGATGCGATGTTGACGGCATGTAAATTAACTTGCTGCTCATGCGTTACAGAGCAAAGATACAGCTTTCCCATATAACGTATAAATTTGTCCTCAAGCAAAATTATTTTAGGGAAAAGTCTCAAGCCATGCTTGCAGAAAGAGAATTACAAATCGCAAATTTATATACATTCACTGGTAAATCCTGTCAATTTTCTGCAAATCTTCCTTTTCATGTAATATTTATTTTAAAAAATATTTCAAATTTTATTTATTAATTATTTTCTTAAAATAATAATAACATTATATCATTAAAATACAAAAATATTAAAATAAATTTATAGATATTAATTAATAATAATAATTATTATTATTTTAGAATATTTGCCACGTCCCTAAAGTTCTGAACTTTCAAATGAACAAAATTTATTTATTCTCTCTTCAAATTAAAAATTTATTAATTTATTTATTATTTATTGCAATAATAATATTACAAATTATTTCAAATTAAAAAATAAACCTACAAGTTATTCACCAATTATTTTGCACTAACATTTCTAATATTTGTTAAAGAATTATTTACTATTTTAGTAAAAAAAATTTTTTATTAAATTAAAAATTTACCAAAAATTAATTAACAAGTATATATATATATTTACATTTTCCAAAACAATTATTTTAGTAAATAATTAATAAAACTTTGACAATAATTATTTTAAACAAATATTTTTAAACTATTGACAATAATTATTTTAAAAAACAATAAAAATTTTCAGCAATTATTTTATTAAAATAATATTAAAATTTACCATAAATTGTTTTTCTAAAATAATAATACAATAATCAATTATTTTACTTGATAATAATAATAATAATAATAATAATAATAATAATAATAATAATAATAATAATAATAATAATAATAATAATAATAATAATAATAATAATAATAGTATTTTTCAACAGTAATTTTACTTAATAATAAGAAAATTAACCAACAAAATTTTTTAATTTTTCCTACAACTTTTGGAAAACTAAAATTTTCTATCAATTATTATTTTACTAAAACAATAATAATAATAAGATAAATAACATAAAAAAAATTAAATTTATAAAATAATTAAAGTTTTGCAGTAATAATTTTACTAAATAATAAGAAAATTAACAAAAATTCATCAAAATATTTCACCCTTAAATTCTGCCAAAAATTATTTAAAAACTAAAATATTCCATCAATTACTTTACTAAAATAATAATAATAAAAATTTCCAACAATTATATTACAAAAATATTTCATAAAATTATTTAACAATTATTTTTACAAAAATAGTGGTGAAATTTGATAATAAATATTATATAAAATTCGAGATAGAATTTGTCAGGAATTATTTTACTAAAATAATATTAAAATTTACCATCAATTGCTTTTGTAAAATAATAATAGAATATTCAATTATTTTACTGAATAATAATAATAATATTTTTCAACAATAATTTTACTTAATAATAACAAAATATTTTTAAATTCGTCCTGAAATTATTTTAAAAAATGCAATTTTGTTAAAATTACAAATAATTGCAGAAATTCAATTATTTTCAAAAAAAAAAAAAATAATAAAATTCTTCTTATAAAATACAACTATGTTCAAAACATGAAAAAAAATTCTTGTAAAAATCCCAATTATCTTAATAAATACCATAACTCTTCTCCAAAGTTCAATTATTTTCATAAATGTCAAAAAAATTCTTGAATTCAATTATTTTCAAAAATAATAAATTTTTTTAAGGAATTTAATTATTATCCTTTCTTAAAAAATAATTTTAAATTCTAGAAAATAATAATTGAATGAAAATGATAAAAATAATTTTGATGAAGTTACAGTAACAATATTCTTAAAATATAAAATAATGATTTTATCTCTCGGTCATCTTTATAATTATTAGAAAACATGAAGAAATCGATCACTCCGAGTCTTCGACTCGGAGCAATCGATATCTTCATGTTTTATAACAAATATTTTTATAAGTTGTTTAATTTTAAAAAAGTTTGAATTTGAAATTTTTGAATGTCTTAATTCCTGTGGAAAATTCTGTTCCAAAATAAAGATTAAAAATAGGAATTGTGCAAATATTTTTCTTCTTTTTCTAAAACAAAAT